CCTTTAATCCCCAGGGGTGCCCTCTCCTGGTCTGGGATGCAGCTCGAGTATAATTTGGTCTTCCCTATATCTATGAAGTTAACTAATGTGGAGATTTCACTCAGCCTTGCACCGCACACTATAGATCATCGAAGCTTGACGCTATCCGGACGACGTCGTCGGCGTTGCTGGCTCCGAAGCAAAAAAATGGGTGACAGGACACAACCTTGTCGAACACATGACCAGACACCGAACACTTGGAAGGGATCGTTGTGAACCAGAACGCGCGCGGTGGCGGATTGATAGAAAGCCTAATCAAAGCAGTGATTTTGGTCGGCATTACATCTTCTTTGATTATAGGCCCCAAAGACTCACGATGGACAGACTCGAACTCAGCGGCGAAGTCGGCGAAGCAGATGGCGGTTGGCTAATAGTAGTCATGACAGTATTCCAGAATGTTCCTCAGTGTAAATATCTGGCCTACGCATACAGGCCCATCTCAGAATCCGGCCTGGTTAGGCTTCGTTCTAGATTGTCATGCAGACTGGAATCTTTTAAGAAAGACAATAGTGAAGACCTTCACACCAACGTCAATGAGGCTTATGTCACGATCCTACCTGCCCTTCGTCTTATCTCACTTTTTGAAGACAAGCATAAGGATACCCGAACGCCAGTCATTCGAACCTTCTTCATTTCTCCAGGCTTGCCTGCTACGCCGACACCTAAGCAGGTTAAAATATGGACAATAAGTGAAAATGGTATATGGAAGCTTTTAAAGGGTGGTTTATGTGACGTAAGACTTATAATTGCACAAGGAACTGTTTATATTCAAAAATTTATCTTCGCAGATGCCTGTTACAAATTCCACATAGGCCAAAAGGCTAATTTGCTGAGGTTCCCTAAAGTCACATCACAGTCCTTTGTCTCATGTATGGTTAACCAATAATAATAACAAATAAATTTCGTCGCAAACAGCACGCGAAAACCGCACTCTTCTGTAATACGGGACAGGTAGCGAAAAGGGTTCAATGGGAAAGCATATAAGGAGAAAGAAAAAAATTATTTAAAGGATGGACCGTATAAAAGTAGAAAATACTAGGAATTATTATTCAACTAAACAAATAAAGGAATACTTCCCCGTGAAAATTAAAATGGCCAATTAGTGCCCAATTGGACACAAACATCAGCTCTATAGTTGGTGGACTTTAAGTCATTTTATTAAGGGAAGAAGGCTTTTGCCCTTGAGCTCCCTTGACTTAATATAGAGATGATGTGGAATTTTTATAGAATCGCCGCTTGTGTACAATTGGGCACTAAACAACAAGTTTAACTATCACGCGTTACTAATCGGTTATTTATGTAAGCTGTTTGGAACCGCAAATTTTAATTTCACCCAAATGTGTCTATCAAAAAAGGTCGATTATTGGAGACGAAATAAAATTCTACCATTCTTCTATAGAAGTGCATGCCGTTCATGTAAGTAACTTGGTTGACGGGTAGAACTTCGTAAAAAAATATGGAAAGATACGAATGTCGATTACATAGTTAAAACATTGATGATGACGAGGATGATAATAATAATAGCGCCTATGTATTTCTTCTTTGATATTCATAAATCGTGTGGCCCCCTGGTGGTGATACCACAGTGTTTCACAAAGACGTTTGATATCAAATCTGCATCAGATGGGCGGGACTGGAAAGCCACTCAAATGGTTAGCTAACTTTCTTATATGCGGGCGTCAGCGTGTTTGTATTGCAGACGCAAAATCAGAATGAAAATCCGATTCCAGTGGGGGTCCGCAGGGGAGCATTCTGGCGCCCATTCCCTTTCTGGTACTTGTGAACCACTGCCTTGATTGCCTCACTCGATAGAAAGTAGTAATTGCTGACGAGTTGTGGGTGTGGAAGGCAATCACAAGCTTGGAAGTTGCGCAGAGCTTGCATAATAACTTCGATTGCTTGCAATATTGGTGTGGTGAGTAGCTGCTGCACCTCGATCTCAACAAATGCCAATTCATCCGGCTACGGCCTACTTACAGAAAGGTGATACGATTTGAGTATGTGTACTGCATCAAAGGTCATTAACTCAAGCGACTGAACGAACTAAGCAATTTTGGTGTATTTATGACGCCTACTTTCAGACCATCAAGGCAGTTTGCCAAAACTGCAAAGAGGGCTAGGGGCAACCTACAAGCGATCAGAAGATATTTCTTCTGTTTTGATGCGAAACTTTCTAGGCGAGTGTTTGGAACATTTGTGCGGCCGATGGTAGAAAATTGCGTTCAGGCGTGGTGCGTCCGGATGGGGCGAGGTTTCGCAGTGCTGAAGAATATTTAACAAAGGGAAACAAATTAGTTAGCGGTTTGGAAGGCCTACCAAATGAGGATCAAATAGAAAGGCTCAAAATCATTCCCCTCTGTATATAGGAGATATGATCATGTTTTACAAATTCGTCAGAGGAGTAGACTGTGCTCTTCGGATGGCTCATTCCTTGAAATGGCAAAAACAACACGTCACCGAGATCATCCATACAAATTGAAGAAGCGCCATGCCAAACTAGAAGTGCGAGCCAAATTCAATTACCAGCCGGTCATTTAAGGCTGGAACGAACGCCTTCCTCATTTGTTCCTGTTGAAATCGTTGATGCATTTGAAAGATAACTTTATAAAGCCTCACTTGATGGTCATTAAGTTTTCGCAAACGATTAATACAATGTACATATATGACTTTGAAACATTTGCATGCATTGCCAGAATCTATGCGTACATAGTGTTTTCAAGTGCTCTGACTATCTCCATTATATATACTGAATTATTCTAATATTATTGTTCCGTAGGCCTCCGTTGTTAACCAATAGGAATGTTCTTAGATGTTAATTGGTCGGTGTAGTTCTTCTGCTGTCCAATAGGAATGTCGCTTGGACTTTTTGTTTATTTTTGCATGCTTTTCACTGATATTTAAGTTCAGCAAAACAATTCCAAACAGCTTTACTTTATTCCCTATTGCGCATTTCTTGTGCATTAAACGCAAATTATCTCATTTTACCTTTTTCGCCATAATGAGAGTTTAAATCTCTGCACGATTTCTGTTCTTACCCGCATAAATGCTCTTAAAAATTTACGAAATTTTGTACGAATTATACCTCCTTTTTCGTTTTCTACATTAAACCGTTCTCTAATCTTCGCTTCCGGGTAGAGATTTCTTTGGAATAACCTGTCGTGACTGGCTCGCGTCGAAGTGAACTTTCCCGAAGGTCCACAGCCGTTGGTCTCGACGTCTGGGAACAGCCAATCACAGATGCCGCAAAGCTGCACCCTGGCCCGGCAACGAATAGCACGCCTGCACGCGTGGACGCTCTCTCTGGCCGCTGTGATTCTTGCTGCTATGCCGCACTTCGGAACACGCCGCTCCAGCGGAATGACGTGCGCTCCCAGGTCAAGCTTCTTCCTCATATCCTCCGTTCCTCTGTATACAGACTAAACTCTTCATAATATTCTGGCCTCCACCGACTTCTTCTCTCCAAAGCAACTATGGTCTGATGATCGCAGTTGCTAGGGTTTAACTAACTTAACCCCTGTGACAAACCTGCCACCTAGTATATCTGCATTCAAGCGAATACTGCACATTCAGCTTAACACTGATTCAATTTACATTTTTATTTTCGCCATCTATCCCGAGCAGCTTTCTCAATGACTCCACAAAAGGACCACTGAGAATTTAGTAGACCTTCTTGAATATATTTTTCTCTGACTCGTGCCCCCCCCCCCAAAGAAGCACAATGTTTCATACCAGCAGTCATTCAGGCGACTGATATTGTATAGACATTTTCAAGCCAAACATTTCCCGATTTTTTGACTGCTAAGCATTACGACAATTCCATTCTGGGCCCTGACATGTCGAGGTCCCACGACAAACGACACACTTCGAGTTATTTCTTTTCATGGGTATTAGCGATCACGTGCGACAAAGACCTTTGAAATTATGCTGAAAAACAAGGAACATGTCCAGCTGATCCCTTCTAAAGAAACCAAGCTTTGTCGCTCACATAAAGAGTTTTTTTCAACCGGACTATTCCCCGATGGAACGACTGGAACGCTGGGAACTCGTAGCGGAATTACAGGCAAGGACAAAGAATGGCGAGACAGGTCTGGCAATCTTCAAGGGGAATATAATTCAAAAGAAAGAATACAACGTTCTGCTTGAACCAAGCCATAATACTGCGAACGACGGCCAGGACTTGACTGACACAACCAGCTTCCACCGAACAATGAAACTAAAGCGCATGTACAACAATGCACAAAGCCTGCTCTCTAAACTTGACGAGCTTAAGATTATTATGCGCCAAATGGAACCGGATGTTCTCTGTATAGCAGAAACTTGGTTGTCCACGAAGGAAGACGACCCGAAAGTTGCTATCCCCAGTTTTCAGTTGTTTCGAAAGATAAAGGCGTCGTCAAGTTGGGGGTGTGCTCACTTATGTTAGACATGGCCTGCTTGTGTCAGACAAAACTGAACAGCTCGCGTCCAATATTGAGGCCTTTTGACCCACCGTTAGCACGCTACATGTCTAATCCCCGACTAAGCTACTTGAAGGGCAACAAGCCAACTGCCTGGACCTTGTATTGATAAAAGCGCCTGACAGCGCTGACGTCGTAAATTGTTTACATCCTCTCGGCAAAAGTGACCATGTAGTACTACAGTGGGAGTATTCACTCTTCTATGTATCTGATCGTAGCACGACCGGCAGACGCAGTATATAGCGCGGAAACCTAACTCAAATTAAAACTGAAATGTGCAGGTTAGACTGGAAGGAAACATTACTTGGTGCGTTCACGGGGATTGGTCGGCGTTTAAGGCCGTATTACACGGACTTATCACCGGATTTTGCTCTATCTCGAAAACGGAGGTCAAAAACAGACCCCAATGGCTAACGAACACACTGAAAAGTTAAGGTAGTCGTAATCGAAAGCTGTTGCAATCCTATCTTAGAGAAAAAACCACCGAGTCGCAAAACAAGTACAAGATACAGACAAATAGGGTGAAGAGCCTTGTACTATAACCCCGCCAAAGCTTCGACAGTGACCATAATAAACCATGCAGTGGTAAATCACACGTTTCTCTACAACTACCTCGGGCGATGCACTCGAAATAGAGCACCCATTCCTTCGTTAAAAACGGATGACGGTGTCGAGCTTTGCGAGAATAATGCAAAGGCTGAGCATGTATCCCAGTTCTTTCAGTCGGTTTCTACGAGGGAGACCGAGCTAACCGCCACCAACTTCAGTTCAGAAGAAATTCCGACAACTGACTCAGTTGATCTAACGGAATTTACTGTTCTGAAAGAACTTCTAAAGCTCAAAGAAACGAAGTCGCCAAGTCCAGATGGAATACCTGCAAAGCTGTTGAAAGAGCTAGCCGGTTTCCGTTCTTGGCCCTATCCTCTTCCTTATATATATCGACGACTTTGCGCAAAAATTCGATGTCCAGATATAATATTCCTTTCATCACCCCCGGAAGAGGAAGAAGGGGCAAGTTCTGGGACCAGATTGTATTTTATCGACGACTGCATAAGCGGATTTGACTGCGAATTCATAATGTTTGCTGACGATTTGAAACGTTGGAAAGTCATGCGAAAAGAAGAGGATGAAGGAAATCTGCAGGCGAATTTGCACCGACTCGAACAACGGTCAACCGAATTGCTGCTACCATTCAATGTCGACAAATGCAAAATAATGCGCTTCCGTAGAACCAGCACTTCGCATCGGAAAGTGTATCACGTTAATCGCACGCCGCTGCCAGAGGTAGAGGCTCAGAAGGATCTTGATATCTGAATCACGCCTCCACCAAAACCACCACTCCACTGCTGGAAGATGGCCAAATCTGCAGTGTCAAGCTTGTATCTCACTAAGCACGTCGTTGCTAAGTTAGTAGGGGTCTAAGTATTGGGTGTGCTCGGATCACTACAATAATCAGGTCGAATCCTAGGTCGGAATTTATATGGCAGAAGTCACCAGAAGGAGTGGTTTATTGTGCGCAGAACTATCTATTGCTGTCCCAGGCGGCATTGGCCACTGGCAAAGCCAGGACATGTGTTGACTGCGTCCAGCCAGACCTGAGAGAGTCGAATGTGTGTTGTGTGGGGTGATGACAGTTGCTTAAGTAGGATTGTGAAGCAAGTTCAAGTGCTTTGTCATTGGTGTGTTGCAATTGCCCAAGCGGATGTCGCCTGTAGAAGTCTTTGCTGCATCGGCCGAGTTGTGGTGCATTCAAGTAGCACTTAGGCAGGCGTTCTTATTTGGACGCACATGTACACGCGGACGTGTGCGCACGCGTGCACGTGACTGAGTAAGCTGAGGTAAAGTGTAGGGGCCACAAGAAGGCCGAAAGACGGGGGAAGGGGGATGCTGACGCAGCTGTTATCAGTTAGGCAGAAGCAGCTGCGAGATCAAGCCTCGGGGGGTGGGCGCGCCCGTGAAAGAAAGCATTGGAACAGTTGTTTGTGACGACACATAACTCTGGGTCCTTGGGCAACTAAGGGAGATAGGCGTTGTGGCTGTCCGCCACAAGTTCGATGAAATATGCTTTGTTAGGGTCTTTGGGACGTTTGTGTGACCCCAATTTG